TATTTATTTTAAGGGTATCATCCCAAATTAACTTTCATTTCTTGTGCATCTGTGTTCACAAGCGCAAGCATCTTCTTTTTTTAACAAATTTGCCATTATGGACCTTACAAATATGGATATTCTCTTCTTTCTTAGATTTTAGTATCCAAATTTTCAGTTTCTACATTTGATAAACTCTCTTCTCATTATGCAGTACTCAGTTTTTTTTCAATATTGGCAAAGAGTGTAGTTATTTTTTATTTTTTTTGAGAGACATGCACAAAGTGTTGTTAAAATGTAAACAACAACACGTAGATGAACGTTGTCAATAAGACACACATAATTTTATTTGAGGGATCCCTCAATAGAAGGAGACTGTATTATAATATATAAAATATATGGGTATGTTCTAATAATAATATGCATGTATATATGTGTATATATGTATATATATATAATATAAATACATATGTATATTTGTAAACCCTAAGTTTATTCTTCCTAGGTTCTGATTAATTTTCAAGCAAATTTTGGGAATAGGGTACTTGTGGGCTACTTTGAAAAGGGCCTTAAATTAGTGGGCTAGCAAGTAGTAATTTTATTTTTAGTTCTATTAGTGAACCCAAGTCCTAGAAACAACAAGCCCAATAGTTTTTTTAATTTATTTAAATAAAGTATTTAACATTTGTCTAAGCTCTCTCTCTTTGAAAACGTACCATTCTTAGAGTCTCTCTCTGCAACTCTCATCTCTTCTTCCACACAATTACTTCATCATTTTCCTCAAACTATTCTCCTCGTAACTTCCAAAGAAAAAAAAACCTGAAGCTCAGTTTCTTTAATTGTTTGGATCATCATGTGAGGCTGGAAGTGACTTGTTTCCAGTTGGTAGGATCTCCATCTTTGGAATTTTCTTCATGATCAAGCAACTGAAATCTCTTTCTAATGTTTATATATCCTCTGTAAACTATTTTTCCAGCCATGCATGTACAAATTTGTTGGTTCTAAACTGTCCTTCTTATCAAAACCAAACACCCTTTGGACAATGGTCTCCTTTTCCTTATTTTTGTATAGATAAGAAGAAGAAGAGAGTAGCTATTGCAGAGCAAGTTGCAAGTTGGCGAACAAATTAGGAAGTGAAGCACCACCACATTCAGTTGAGGTAAGGGGTTTTTGAATAAGGAAATGTTTTAATTGTTTTAATGATGCCTCTTACAATTGTGAATATGGTTTCTGTATTTTGTTTAATGATACGGTCGTTTTCAAGCAACAAAAACACATGTTTTGAAAAAAAATTATACTACAAGTTTCCTTCATAACTTTTACAAAGTTCTCATTCATTTAATTCTTTTGAGTTAAACTCGTGACTTTTACCTGAATTTGTTTTCTTTGTGAAAAATATGAGAATATATATATATATATATATATATATTGATTTATACTTGGAAGAGGATTGTGGGAAACTTGAATTACGTGAAAGCTTGGCTGTTATATGGGGACAATAACCCGTAAATTCTGAAATGGTATGGGCACAACGACCAAATTTTCATGGGGAAGGCTCTATGTGTGGACAGTATAGTGTTGAGATATTGATATGTTACTGATTAGCCAAAGCGGTGTGCTACCAAATCCCTTCCAGCACGTTTTGAGACAGAAACAGACTTTAAATCTTATGGTTTCAAATAATTCAATCCAATGATTAAATGATATTGGATTCAAGTGAATTTTTTATAGAGATGATTTTTGAATGAATATTTACAAAATAAACGGTTTGAATTGATGAAATACAATATATGGTGGGCCCAACAAGCAGGGGCGAAGCCAACATAGGACTAGTGTGGTCCCAAACCCCCACTCCATTTTTACCTCTTCTATTTATATATTATATATGATATATAATATTATAATATATTAGATTAGTTTTAGGATATTTACCCTAAAATAAAATAATATATTAGGTTCTTTTGGTCTACAAATTAACCATAAATTTTCTTGATCTCCCTTATACTCAACTCCCTTAAATCTTCTAGGTTAGTTTGACATTTGCACTAAAAATTCGTAAAGTTTTAACATTTCTTCATCTTCCTCTTTGTTTAAAGCTTTGTGAATTTTTTTATTTTCCTCATTTTTTTATATATGAGTTGGGTACCTTAATATTGCGCTTTATGAACTCTTTATTTTTATATTTCTTTTCTCTGTTGGAATATAAATTATTAATTTTTAAGTCTTTAATAGTGTAGATGATGAAATTAGTATGTAACCAATTTAAAATATGAAATTCATGATAATTATGAAGAGAAGACAAATTTTATAAAGGCCCCTTCTAATGTGAAATCATGGCTCTGCCATTGCCTACAAGAATGTCTTATTTGAGGGACACCCTTTAGGGTCCCTTACGAATTTTTTTTCAACAATCCAAACCATCTATTTAGTAAGTCTACATTCATATATCATCCTTGCAAAAAATTAGACAAATCGAAAACCGTTTTGACATCCAATTGTGTCATACAAAATCAATGAACACGGTGTTTCAAGAAAGTACTAAAATTTCAATAACTCAATTGAGTGGTCAAATGATATCGAATTCAAATGATTTTTTGTAGAGATGATCTTTGACTGATTATCTAAAAATAGACGGTTTTGGATTAGTGAAATACAATGCGGAGTGAGCCCTACATGTGTATCCCTCAAATAAGCTTATTTGAGGAATTCCTCAACGGAAGTTCCCTGTATATACATATATATACATACAGTCCCCTTCTATTGATGGATCCCTTATGATTTTTTTTTCAATGATCCAAACAATCTATTTTTTTTAAGTGTACATTGTACATTCAGAGATCATCCTTGCAAAAAATTAGACAAATTGAAAACCGTTTCGACATCCAATTGTGTCTTACAAAATCAATGAACATAGTGTTTCAAGAAAGTACTAAAATTTCAATAATTCAATTAAGTAGTCAAATGATATTGGATTCAAGTGATTTTTTTGTAGAGATGATCTTTGAATGAATATCTACAAAATAGACAATTTGAATTAGTGAAATACAATACGGAGTGGGCTCTACAAGGATATTCCTCAAATAAGTTTATTTGAGGAATTCCTCAACTGAAGATCACTATATATATATATATATATATATATATATATATATATATATAGTGTGAGGTGATTTTCCCACTCCCCTTTTATCCACCTACCTACACTCCCTTTTGTTTTTTAATACTTTTTACTATAAGATAAAAGGGAGTGTAAGGGAACAAAAGATGTGTAATAAAATATAATTTTTTTTTAAATGGAGTGTAAGTAAATAAAAAGGTAGTAGAAAAATCAGTATCCTATATATATATATATATATATTTATATATATTATTTTATTGCTTGTTAGTTTCTTTGTTTTTAAACTAGACTTAATTGGGTAAAACTAAAATAACATTTGGTAAAAGCCTATTCACCCCCTCTAGGCTTATAGGTGGTTTAGCTATGTAATTTCACCTTATTCAAATCAAAAGGTAAAATTGACACAACAAAACAAGTAATAAAATTCACAAGATGTGCATTTATAAAAAATAATAATAATAATAATAACATATGTGGACTAAACTTAATAGCAGTAAGTCGTTTCGGACCTAAGTCTAATAACCCTAGCATAAATACCAATTAGCACTTAATCTAGCAGTGCTTCACCACTTATGTATTGTAAAAAGTTCGAATTATCTGTAACCATCTCCCATAATAAAATAAATAAAATTCATATAAGCACTTTTGAATTATTAAAATAATTGTTCATATGAATATGGGTGGACCCCATTAAGTTTGTATTTGGAACCATTTCCCACACCTTGTGCTCATGGCAAACATTAGGGCGGAACCCATACCGCCCAATTATACTTTTTCATTTCTCCTATGCAGTTTAGAGAGCTTATTTATAGAGAGAGAGAGAGAGAGAGAGAGAGAGAGAGAGAGAGAGAGAGAGAGATCTTCTAATTGGTAAGTGTATTACAATTTTTCCACTTAAAAGTACGTAGAGTTTTTCTAAAATATTGTACTTGAAGGATTTTTATTTTATTTTAAAATGTCATGTTAAAATGGACTTATTTGTATAAAAAGTAATTTATATATAACGTCATCTCTTCTAGCCCAGCACCATATCATAGTGGATAGTTGGTAGGCCCATTTCCTGCAATAAATAAAAAACTTACATATCTCATGTTTTATATGTCTCTTTCTTCATACTAGCCCCTTGTGCCAATTGATTTTCTTTTTTATTTTTAAAATTAAGTAAAGATAACATGGGTAGTTATGTTCCATAAAAGTAAGACTTATTATTTGATTTTGTTTTTATTTTTATTTTTTTAAATATGAAAAAACGTGAATTTACCATATTATCCTCATTTAATTAATAATTTAAATTCTTAATGTTTGAATTAACCAATGACATTTTCTGGTATTTTCCTATGCCTTTTGCTTTATATATATATATAGATTATTATAGAGATAGAGAAAGGTGAATGAAACATGTGTTACATGGAAATTTCATTCTTTACTTGGTGCTTCTTAGTTTCAGCCTAAGGAGACAAATCACGGTACGGGGGTTATTATTCGGCCCACAGGCTCACCCACAGGCTCATGATCCGATGGAGGCACGCCCAAACCAATGAGGAAAAGTCCGGCCCGGCCTGTTTCGGGCCACGTATTATTAAAGTTGAATAGATTGGTAAAGTTTAACAATATTGGGACAGTTGCTTATCAAAACTAAAAACAGAACAAGAAAAAAAAAGCGGGAAAATCCAGTAATCTTGCTTCATATACATGATTTTTTTTTCTTCTACTTTATGTCATTAAAGTAGCAAAACAAAATTGGAATGAACTATTTCCATGTAAATTGTATACATGAAAAAACCTCTCTACACTCATTTCGGCCAGCATCAACCAGCAGTGAAATGAAAAAAAAGAAAAAGAAAAAAGGTAATAGAATTACATTGTTTAAATCAAAGGAAGAATTTGTTCCATGATCAATCAATCAAACCACAGTGGTTATGCCATTGTATCTTGGTCTAGTTCTATCAGGTGAAAGCCCCTCTTCCATGGCCTTCCTCTTGTTACTGTTTGCTGGTACTGGGGGTGGTTGTTGTTGTTGATGTTGATCTACTACTTGTTGATCCTGCTCCTGTGAAGCCTCTGAGCTTTCAGATGATTCTTCTTGTTTTTCTTCATTTTCTTCCTTTCCTTGGTTTTGATCCTTGGACTTGGTTTTCATGATATGGGGTCTAAGCCTACTCAAGTCTGATAGCCTCACTGGCTTTAAGAAAAATTCTTCAGCCCCTTCTTCCAAGCATCTGTTACCAACCACATCAATTCATCAATTCCACTTCACAAACCAAAATCCCAGATTCCTACAATATTCTAAATCTCCAAGAGAAAGAAAATAAAAAGAAAAAAAAACATGCGAATCAGGTAAGCCCATATTATTTTTCTCCTCTGTTGTTACCTGTTGATTCTTGAAGGCACATTCTCAGATGACATGATCACAACTGGTATGTTTCTCAGAGATGAAGATTCCTGTAAAAACAATCAAAATCCCATTAATTTCTTGAACAAACATTTTTCAAAAAGATCATGAACAGATTTGTAAATTTGATGACAAGAGGACCCATGTAAAACAAAGGAAATCTTCTGACATCTAGAACCTGATCTAATTTGGGTTGAAAATTGGTGGGGAAATATTCCAAGAGAATTTTAATTGATATTCAAAACCAAGTGGTAAAAGGAAGGACAATTGTCAAACTCTAGTGGATAGATGGAAAACTCAATGGGGAAAGATTGAGGAAAAAGCAAGGGAATATAATGATGAAGGAGAAAAGAGACAAAGGAATAGAAAATAAAGCATACCTTGATTTTCTTGAGCAAATCATATCCTGTCATGCCAGGCATACAATAGTCTGTAATAACAAGATTCACTCCCACTTCCTGCAAAAACACAAGAAAACAAAATAAATTTAGAAACCCAGAAAATAAAAGTTGTGGGAAATTAGGAAGAAAATAAAAATGCTCTGGGAATCTCAGACATTAAAGAAGAGAAGAATCCATCAATCAGTCAATCATAGTACCTGTTGATTGCTTGGGGAAACAGAAGGTGAATCTGGACTGCTTTGGTCATCCTCATACAAACCCAGAAACTCTAGAGCCTTGCTACCAGAATCAACTGTAGTAACTGCAATGAAGAACAGAGGAGAATAAAAATCACACCACAACGATAACATAATAAAACAATGAGACCCAAGATTGAAACTTGCATTCAGATTAGCTCCCTTTGTTTTTCCTTTTTTTTTCTTTTTGGTGCTGTTGGGGTGGGTGGTAAGTAGAAGCAACCCAAGAAATGAAGTACCTTGATATGAAGAGGTCTTGAGGAGCCTCTCAATCAGTTTGCGATCTATGAGGCTGTCATCAACAGCTAAAACATGAAACTGTGAATCTGCAGCAGCCATCACCATTTCACCAGATGAAGAAGATTCAAGATGAAAGCAAATACCAAAAGGCCAAGAGAAGAACAGATGGCAGTGACTGAGAAATAGCTAAAAGCCTTTGTGAGCTTTTATTTTTCTTCTTTGGTGGGTTGGTTTGGTTTTCCTATGGGAGGAGGAGGAGAAGATGAGAAAGAGGGGAGCTTTGTATTGAAATAAGAAGACCCACCAATATCCACATCCCACAAAGCAAGATCCGACCAGATTTCATCCCAAATCTTGTAAATTTTCCAACTTGATTTTTGAATTACAGGGCAAGCAATGCAAAAGAAAAAGAAAAACAAAAGAAAAATGAAACAAGTAATAAGAAATGAAAGAAAATAATCCCAATGAATATTTTAGTTGATGGGGGGGGTGGTGGGTTGTATTTATACAAAAGGCTAGACATAATGAGAGAGGGCAGGAAGATTTTGTGTGAAAAATAGAAAGTCTTGGATGAAAGCAAAAGGGTAAAAGTTGAGAGTTGAGGTGAGAGAAGAGAAGAGGAGAGAGATAGAGAGAAAGGGTGGGGGAGGTGGGGCCCACCAAAATCCTCGCAAGAGATACAGGTGACATCAGCAGAGGTGCCTTTTTCCCTGGGAGTGAAATCATGTGGCGCTTACCATATCTTGAGCAGGTGGGGGAGTGGTGGCAAAGAGAGGGCAATTTCTTTTGATTCCCTTTTAAGATTTGCTTCCCATGCATGATGATGATGCTCATCTCCCTTCAATACCCATACCCATTCCATCCATGCATCCATACATTCAACATTCATGAGCTGCCAATGCATGCGTAATAGCCACTTACCCCACCCCAATTCCTATTAAAATTCTCTATTGGTTGAACAAACTTATCCAGCACCTAGAATCCGTTGTTCATGCGCGCATATATTGTGTCGTTGAATGAGTTTAATTTTTGAAATGTAGATAGGTTAAATCAACATCCTTTAGTTAATGACCGTGAACAAATCTTCTGTTTATGTCAATGAGGTCATACCATAGAGTGTTTGGCCTCAGACCATGTTTGAGGTTCGAAACCCACCTCTGGCATCAGAGTTTGTATTCCCTCATCCTATCGACGAGAGAAAACAAAAACAAAAACAAACAAACAAATCTTTCATTTATTCTCTAATTATAATTAACAACATTTGAATTTTCTCATGTGTCTGCTTAAATATTTACAAATAAGTCGTTACTTGTCTCACTCTTTATGAAAAAATATAGAACAAATCTAAAGCATGTCAAAATTACCACAGTGTTCACTTCTTCTTTTTTGGCTATTTAAACAATTTAAGAATAGGTTGTCTTTGTCTAAAACCCAAGCCCCCCTATCTCCCAAAAAACACTCTAGAGCCGTTTTCACTTTGAGTGGGGAGGAAGCCACTGCTCTTCCTATCCTCCCCCTTCTCCTCTCTTCCCCCATTTTCAAAGACATAAGGTTTTCCCTATTTGTCTTTACTTTGTTATGATTTTCCTCCACCTATCATAGGTAGCTGCGTCTCAACGTTGGATCTCCACTTGCATTTCAGTATCGAATCTCTACCACTATCCTTTTTGTGGTTTATTTAGGTTTAGAATAAGTTGCAGAGACTCTTTGAGTTTTCTATGTAGTTTTCACCTCTCCTTTTGTGAGAGTTTTTCACCTCTCTTTTTGTGAGAGTTTTTCACCTCTCTTTTTGTGAGAGTTTTTCACCTCTCTTTTTGTGAGAGTTTTCCACCTCTCTTTTGTCAAAGTTTTATTTGTATTTTTATGGCTTGGTTTTTTTAAAGCTCTATCTCTTTTTAGTTGTTCTAAGTTTGCAGTCTTAGTTGGAATGCATATGCCTGAGTTCCTTCGATCCTGCGTGATCGTTAATGGAAGCGCATCAGATTGTCTTAATTTGATGTTAAATCGCTTTGTTATTGGCCTTTTGTGGCTAGTGAATTTTTTGGTTGAATTATAAATGCAATCATAGAATTTCTCAACCAAAAAAATTAAGAATCTTTTTTCTAATTTAAGATTGATTATGATCTAATAATATTTTTCCTAATGTTGAAAGAGGGCTTAAATTCAAACATCATCTTCCCCATTAATTAAAAAGAACACAAACTTGACTAATTGACAAAAGCATTCAATAAGATTCCTTTTTATTTCATCAGTAAATTAGTAGTTCATTTCAAAATTGTCATCATATAGTGTGGAATCTCATCGAAATTTCAATTGAACCTCTAGAAGTATAACACCAAACCATGAGGTGCATTTCACCTATGTCAAAATATCATTATCATAAGATTTTCACAATCATATGCTATCTTGTAGTATTATCACTATTCATAGGTATAAGATGGACTTAACAGATACTTAGAAGAAAAAAGAAAACACTTCTGAAAAGACTGATAAATTAGGTAAAGTGTAAAAGATCTTATTATGGTTTTTTTTTGTCTATGTTCACCCGTTTTAGATCCAAATTAGGCCCAAACAATCTAGAACAATATTTTCTTTTCTTTTTCTACAAATACGCAAAGATATTGTCGCGGCACTTTTTTGTGATATTTTTGAGTCGTGTTCGAAATAGTCGCTCCTAAAATAAAGTACAATTGCAATCTTAAACGCTAAATAGTGCTCAGAACTCTTGATTTTTTTTATAAATGGAATGCATATGCACTTTGGTCCAACAAATTTTATTTTAAAACCTTAAGAATTGGGCAAAATAAAAAGAAGCTTCTGTTCCAAAAGTGGAACACCACATAGGGCACCATGTAAGAGATAATTTGAATTTGTTTCTATTTTTCCGTAGAAATAGAAAAAGATTCTCAGACAGACACTTTATTTTGTTGTACACCCTGTCACACATAATCCACACTTGTTAAAACTTGTACAATACTAATAAAGGTATGTTTTGTGGGGGCCCACTAACAAATTGGAAGACACACCCCTGCCAATGCCAGACATGATTGTTGATCCAATGCTGCTCAGCTCCACCAACAACCATGGACCCAATGCCTAACGAATTTTCCGTTCCTAGTCTTATCATATGGTATTTCACCATATCACCGGCAGCATCATACGGGAAAATCATTTAAATTATAAGAATATTAAAACAAATCTTAAGTTTGTTTTTTTTTTTTTTTTTTTTTTTTTTTTTTTTTTTTTTTTTTTAAATTATATTATTAAAAATATTGATGAATAATATTTGATATTAAATGAGTTAGCAAAACCCAAGGGACACCCGAAGTTTTTTTTTTAAACCTAATGAAGGTTTTTGTAGCATTTACAATTACATTTTCACAACCATCTTTTCTTTTCATACACCCTTTTTCTATTTTCACGCCTAAAAAAATATATTGCATTCATAATTCAGGCATAAAAGTCATCATGCACAAGAGTCAATACAGATACAAATAACCATGTAGAGTTAATATAAATATAGAATCACAGAGAAATCCATTAGCAACATCAAGTGCACAAAGTGTACCTCCACTCATAGTCACACAAGGACAAAGAAATTCCCGCATAACAGCCACAAGCTTGGAAAACTCAGCCTAGGCACACAAAACTACAACTGCAACTACAACCTTTAAACTCTCATAATTAAAATATGCAAGTAGAGACTAAAACACGGAACACACTCAAAAAGCTGCAATGCACGAAGAAAAAAAAATGGTTAAATACTTTTTTGGTCATTGGTTTTACATGAAATTTCAATTTGGTCACTGAAAAAAAATAATTAGCCAAATTGGTCACTATATTAACCAAAGTTTCCAATTTATAGACTTGTCAGTAAGTTTCAATTAAGTTTTTAGTTTAAATACCTTTTGGTTATTAGGTTTTACACAAAATTTCAATTTGATCACTGAGAAATAAAAAATTACCCAAAAACCATGAAAATGCTATGCTCTTGCACATGCTGCATGTAGACTAAACATTTTTCATTAGTGGCAAACATGGTATAGCCCAGTGGAAATGGCTTTGATTTGTAGACTAGTTATCTCAAGTTTGAACCCCCATGGTACCTTGGTAATATGTATGTGAGAAACCCCATTTTCTTTGTAGTTTAGACTATCATTTGTTTATATTTATAAAAATAAAAATTATGGTTGGTGTAGCATCAATTAAGGCTATAAAGAGGAATCGTGTCATGACAAAATTGTTTATACTTGAAATTTTTTCCTCTTGGGACTCACATGAGGGAATGACGTGGCATTAACCCATTAAACAAAGTTGAGTAATCAAGGCAATACTAGTAAATTGAGCCCAAAGACCTAAGGCTATGATGATTTTGACTCGGGCCGAACAATGGGTTCGGTTCCATTTTTAAGATAGGATTAGAACAAGAAGCCCAAATACAGATACATGTGGGCTGAAATCTTAGCCCAAGAACTTCGACAACAGCCCAAACGCATGGCCCAATTTAAATCCATGATAAACTCGATCGAAGTTGAAGGTCGGCAGCTTGTTCCTATGCCCAAAGAGTCTTGGCCGAGTAAAAGTTGCAAGTACCAACTTTAGGTAAAGGTATCACATGACTTGTATTGATCAAAATGTCGGGTAGAAGGCAAAAGGAATTATGCGACGTTTAGCTACTTTTTGAAACGTGCACACATACATAGAATCTTTGGAGCTCACAAGGGAAGCGTGTGCAGAAGGACGAGCCTCGGGACTATTTATCGAGGCATGACGTGAGGGCAAGAAGCCACCTTACGCAACAATTTGGGTGATGGCCGACTTTCTTGGCAGTTTTTAAAGGCAGCAACATTTGCCTATAAATAGGGGACTTATACTTCATTTTAACACACTCACGTCTCAACAAAATGAACCCAAAATTCTACTTAAATTCCCTCTCAAAACAAACTTAGATCATTTTTATTGCTTTCTTTTAATTTCTCATAGTTATATCACTACGAGACTTTGAGGCTTGTTCAAAGTTCGCCAGAGCACCAACATTGTAATCATCCATATTTTTTTTATCAAAAACAACTTTGTTCATAAGAGTTTTCATTTGAGCATCATCC